AAGCAACAAACTAAGGTGAGAAAGGAGAATTAAAATATACACCATAATAAAGGTACCAGGGAGAAAGACACTTCCGTGAGAAAATATGAAGGAGCAAAGACTGGAAGGTCTGAGTATTGTGGGACCAGGATCAGAATAAGTTTGGGTGGAACAACAATGAAAAGGGACTGGAGGATGACCAGAAAGTCGGAGGGCAGAGCAGGAAGCTGCCTGCTGAATAGACCTGGACAAAGGGGCGTTGGAAGGGGCTGGAGTTGGCCAGGGTGGCTGAGTGGAGGAGTTGTGTGAGCTCCTGTTTGCACATTCATACACCAAGACAACGTTGGCTAAACTGCTAGTTTTTGGTTCCTCTGCCCTATGTCTATCTCTACTTCCTTCCCTTTGCTTCTCTCTGCTGTCTCCTTCCTACCCTGTACTGCTATCTCTTCCTCTTTGTGATCTCTTCCCCTGTGTGTCTGTTTACTCTCCCATAGCTTTCACTCCTTTCCTCCTGCTTTTTCTTCCCTAAAGTTTGCTTGTAATTACAATGAGTGCTGATGAGAGAGAGGAAGCATCCAGCTTTTCTCTCCCGCAGTCAACCACCCTGTCCATGCGGGGATGTGACTCTCCTTTTATTTACATTGTTCCCTGCTGGGGACACAGCCGTTCTTGAAACAGTCACTGACTTGTAGGGATTGTTTGGGGACTACTTCTCTAGACTATATTTCCTACAGGCCCAGACAGATGGAGCAGATGTTTCCAACAAGGAATCTCTTACCATGAGTTGGAAGAGTGGGCAAGCTGCTATAATTTCAGTAGTTTCTTGGGTTGCTTTCCTTTTCCATCCAACCATCATGATATAATCTTTCATCTTTCCTCATTTATGAGAGAAAGGGCAGTTTCATAGATTTCATAGATTTCATAGACATCAGGGCTGGAAGGGACCTCGGAAGATCATCGAGTCCAGCCCCCCGCCCAAAGGGCAGGAAGTCAGCTGGGGTCATAGGATCCCAGCAAGATAAGCATCCAGTTTCATCTTGAAGGTGTTCAATGAAGGCGCTTGAACCACCTCCGGTGGCAGGCTGTTCCAGACCTTGGGGGCTCGGACAGTAAAGAATTTCTTCCTTATGTCCAGCCTGAAACGATCTTGAAGTAGTTTGTGACCATTCGACCTCGTCATCCCTTGGGGCGCTCTGGTGGACAAACGTTCCCCCAGATGCTGGTGGTCACCCCTGATAAACTTGTAGGTGGCCATCAGATCACCCCTGAGCCTGCGCTTTTTCAGGCTAAAGAGCCCCAGGGCTCTCAGCCTGTCATCGTAGGGTCTGCTTCCCTGACCTCTGATCATGCACGTGGCTCTTCGTCCACATCCTTTTTGAATTGTGGAGCGCAAAACTGGACACAGTACTCCAGCTGCGGCCTCACTAAGGCCGAGTACAGGGGGAGAATGACGTCCCGGGATTTGCTTGAGAAGCATCTATGGATGCAAGCCAGC